CTGGACCCCAGCAGCAAGCTAACCTACTGGTCAGAGCATCTGCCCCCTGGTGGTCATTGCACATCATAGCGACAGGTCGACCGGTCGTCTGTCTGTTCCCTAGTGGTCAGTGCACATCTTAGGGAGTGGTTGAGTGGCCTTATCATATCATTAGCATATTACGCTTTGATTGGTTGAACAGCCGACCAGACACTTAATGTATTAGGCTTTTATTATATAGGATTATACAATGAACATGAATATATATTAGAACAATAAATAGTCTAATTTATGTGTCCTATGATGGGGACATTATTATGAAGAAAAAGGTGATCATTATCTGTCTCCATGGCACTCAACTATTGCCACTTTCTAGTTGAAACCCCTCCTATGAATAGCTACTGTGCTAATTTTTACGATCCCACTCCTCTGGATAAAATTAGTTAACCAGAAACAGTTCAATTTCTCTGCATTCTAGAATAACAGCAATAACTTAGGGTAGAGAGAGATGTTGGCATGGACAGTGCCTCTCTTGTATCATCACAGAAAACTTAATGGCCACTCAATAATGCACATTGATTTCATCCATACCTACACATCTCTCTCTCTCTCTCTCTCTCTCTCTCTCTCTCTCTATATATATATATATATATATATATATATATACCTGCATACATATAGTACATACGTAGCACTGAATCATCATTCAGATGTTATTGACTGAGTAATCTCTTTAATATGGCTCTACACACCCTGAAGTTTTTCTCATTATGGACCTTGGAACAGGCCCAGTTTGGATGGAGTTAGGAAAGTTAAATTCCAATTAAATGCATTCTACTGTCCTAGTCTATGAATACCTTATAATTACTTGCCTGAACTATAATACTGTCCTAAACTCCTGTCTTCCTCCATTCCATTCAGCCTATGAGATATGGGCAGATTAATCTTCCATATCACTGCAAGTGACATATATCTGCCTACAAAGCTTTAGTAGCTTACCATGTAACCACAGAACAAAAATAGTAGCTATTGTAATTTATTGATTACAATGTGTTTTAAAGATTTGATTTTAGTAGCAGTATAGGCTTTAAAAGGGAGGTAGAAAGATTATGTACCTGAAAACTTCAATAATCTGGTCAAAATATTGAGAACCTAAATGTGTTAGTAGTATTTACCAGTATAATTTCAGGGGGGAAATTACACATTCAAGAAACGTTGAAAATTTTTAATTGTTTTGAGGCTAGTTTGATTTACAGAGGAAAAGAAAAAACCAAGTTGGGTGATATTAAGGGACTAAGCGGATACTGCTACTGCTGCCAGTTACTATAATGAGGGAAATTAGAACAGGCGATCAATTTGGGGGAGGAACAGTTTAGTTAGAAATGGTTATGGGAATGTAAATTGTTCATTAATTGAAAATAGGGCAAGGGCTTTGTTTATAGTTGGGGACTGGAGATAGCGATTTGATCATAATGGTGAGAATTTAAACATTAAGAAGACGTTAAAATTATGGGAATACATGCATTATCAGAGAAAAATGGCTTTAACCAGGGAAGAACATAATGTCAGAGGTTGAACTTTAAATAATACCTACACTCAAAAGGGCAGCTGAGAAGCTAGAGTTGGTAAACATTAAGCACACATATAGGAAGAGATACAGCAGAGTTCAGTGCTATAGATGTTCAGCAGAAATAAACTGTTGTAATATCAAAGAGGATGCAGATGATAAAAGGCCTTTATATTTGTGATGTGAAAAATCTCATCAAATCCAAAGATGACATTTGAAGGGTAAGAAACAAAGTGGTGAAGATAGATGACAAATTGCATGAGGATTAAAAGGAAATGGAGATAATGAATAACTTTTATAGCACGCCATAATTTATAATGGGCACTTTACATACCTTAGAACATTGAAAATGGATAGAAACTGTTTGGCTCAAGTAAGATAATTTTTAAAATTAAGGAGATTCGGCAATCTTTAAAGACAGAAAATGAAAAGAAGACTGATGCAACTGAAGGGGGTAAAAATAGGAAGCTAATTCTATTCTGCAGTACACTGAATGGAGAGAACATACGAGGGAAGGAAATGTAGCAAGTTTTACAGGACCCACTGAACTAAAAACAACAACAAATTAGAAATAACACTTTGTTTTCACTTTTTTCCCCAGGAAAGAGAGGTGAGATCATCTTTTGAAATTGAGTGTGGATCAGGGGTTTTCAAAGAGACAAGTCTGCAATAGCCATTCAACTAACAAGCAAGCTGAATTTTGACAGCATGAACTTGTAATGGATCAAGTCATCCTAGGTCTCCACTATCTCCCATCATGTGATAATAAAGAATTAGGAATGTAGGAATCAAATATTGTAGAGAAATTCAATACTGAGTATTTGCTTATGAGCATGGAAAAAATTTACTACTGAGATACAATCAAAAACAAACATAATCTGACGTAATTTTAAAGGGCCCCTACACACTAAACCAACAATTTACAACTTCTTTTCCCTTAGACTGTCAACAAAAAAATCCCCAAAAAACCAAACAAACAAAAAAAAACAGTGACAACAACCAACACAACCATATCATCTGGTGTGAATGAATCAAAATTATACCTTTTTTTTGTCAGATCAGCAAAAAAATATAATATCTATTTTGGTGTGCTGAAGAACCTTAGTAATCAGTTTATGTGTGCTATGAGGTAAAAAGGTTGAAAACCACTGCACTAAACTATGGAGCTATTCTAAATATGGAAGTTCTTATAAATTAGCTATAT